AGCAACCACCCAGGGAAGTACTACCGTCCTGCCAGATGACTGTGAAACAGAAACCTGTAACTGTTTTGCATGATGGTAGGATTGCTGGTTCCTTTTTCTGTCTCACAAACACGCTAGATAACAGGGATATCTTGCTACTCCTACTTACACTTTGGTCACACTTCACAGACACGCACATGCATATATATATACATACATCTAGGTTTTTCTCCTTTTTCTAAATAGCTCTTGTTCTTCTTTATTTCTTCTATTGTCCATGGGGAAGTGGAAAAGAATCTTTCCTCCGTAAGCCATGCGTGTCGTATGAGGCGACTAAAATACCGGGAGCAATGGGCTAGTAACCCCTTCTCCTGTAGACACTTACTAAAAAAGAGAAGAAGAAAAATTTTATAAAACTGGGATGCTTAAATGTGCGTGGATGTAGTGCGGATGACAAGAAACAGATGATTGCTGATGTTATGAATGAAAAGAAGTTGGATGTCCTGGCCCTAAGCGAAACAAAGCTGAAGGGGGTAGGAGAGTTTCAGTGGGGGGAAATAAATGGGACTAAATCTGGAGTATCTGAGAGAGTTAGAGCAAAGGAAGGGGTAGCAGTAATGTTAAATGATCAGTTATGGAAGGAGAAAAGAGAATATGAATGTGTAAATTCAAGAATTATGGGGATTAAAGTAAAGGTTGGATGCGAGAAGTGGGTCATAATAAGCGTGTATGCACCTGGAGAAGAGAGGAATGCAGAGGAGAGAGAGAGATTTTGGGAGATGTTAAGTGAATTTTATAGGAGCCTTTGAACCAAGTGAGAGAGTAATTGTGGTAGGGGACCTGAATGCTAAAGTAGGAGAAACTTTTAGAGAGGGTGTGGTAGGTAAGTTTGGGGTGCCAGGTGTAAATGATAATGGGAGCCCTTTCATTGAACTTTGTATAGAAAGGGGTTTAGTGATAGGTAATACATATTTTAAGAAAAAGAGGATAAATAAGTATACAAGAGAAGATGTAGGGCAAAATGACAGTAGTTTGTTGGATTATGTATTGGTAGATAAAAGACTGTTGAGTAGACTTCAGGATGTACATGTTTATAGAGGGGCCACAGATATATCAGATCACTTTCTAGTTGTAGCTACACTGAGAGTAAAAGGTAGATGGGATACAAGGAGAATAGAAGCATCAGGGAAGAGAGAGATGAAGGTTTATAAACTAAAAGAGGAGGCAGTTAGGGTAAGATATAAACAGCTATTGGAGGATAGATGGGCTAATGAGAGCATAGGCAATGGGGTCGAAGAGGTATGGGGTAGGTTTAAAAATGTAGTGTTAGAGTGTTCAGCAGAAGTTTGTGGTTACAGGAAAGTGGGTGCGGGAGGGAAGAGGAGCGATTGGTGGAATGATGATGTAAAGAGAGTAGTAAGGGAGAAAAAGTTAGCATATGAGAAGTTTTTACAAAGTAGAAGTGATGCAAGGAGGGAAGAGTATATGGAGAAAAAGAGAGAGGTTAAGAGAGTGGTGAAGCAATGTAAAAAGAGAGCAAATGAGAGAGTGGGTGAGATGTTATCAACAAATTTTGTTGAAAATAAGAAAAAGTTTTGGAGTGAGATTAACAAGTTAAGAAAGCCTAGAGAACAAATGGATTTGTAGTTAAAAATAGGAGAGGAGAGTTATTAAATGGAGAGTTAGAGGTATTGGGAAGATGGAGGGAATATTTTGAAGAATTGTTAAATGTTGATGAAGATAGGGAAGCTGTGATTTCGTGTATAGGGCAAGGAGGAATAACATCTTGTAGGAGTGAGGAAGAGCCAGTTGTGAGTGGGGGGGAAGTTCATGAGGCAGTAGGTAAAATGAAAGGGGGTAAGGCAGCCGGGATTGATGGGATAAAGATAGAAATGTTAAAAGCAGGTGGGGATATAGTTTTGGAGTGGTTGGTGCAATTATTTAATAAATGTATGGAAGAGGGTAAGGTACCTAGGGATTGGCAGAGAGCATGCATAGTTCCTTTGTATAAAGGCAAAGGGGATAAAAGAGAGTGCAAAAATTATAGGGGGAAAAGTCTGCTGAGTATACCTGGTAAAGTGTATGGTAGAGTTATTATTGAAAGAATTAAGAGTAAGACAGAGAATAGGATAGCAGATGAACAAGGAGGCTTTAGGAAAGGTAGGGGGTGTGTGGACCAGGTGTTTACAGTGAAACATATAAGTGAACAGTATTTAGATAAGGCTAAAGAGGTCTTTGTGGCATTTATGGATTTGGAAAAGGCATATGACAGGGTGGATAGGGGGGCAATGTGGCAGATGTTGCAAGTGTATGGTGTAGGAGGTAGGTTACTGAAAGCAGTGAAGAGTTTTTACGAGGATAGTGAGGCTAAAGTTAGAGTATGTAGGAAAGAGGGAAATTATTTCCCAGTAAAAGTAGGCCTTAGACAAGGATGTGTGATGTCACCGTGGTTGTTTAATATATTTATAGAGGGGGTTGTAAGAGAAGTAAATGCGAGGGTCTTGAAAAAGAGGCTTTGGAGTTAAAAGATAAAGAATCACACACAAAGTGGGAGTTGTCACAGCTGCTCTTTCCCTGATGACACTGTGCTCTTGGGAGATTCTGAAGAGAATTTTGCAGAGATTGGTTGATGAATTTGGTAGGGTGTGCAAAAAAAGAAAATTAAAAGGTGAATACGGGGAAAGAGTAAGGTTATGAGGATAACAAAAAGATTAGGTGAAAGATTAAATTTTCAGATTGGAGGGAGAGTGTATGGAGGAGGTGAATGTATTCAGGTATTTGGGAGGGGACGTGTCAGCGGATGGGTCTATAAAAAGATGAGGTGAATCATAGAATTGATGAGGGAAAAAGAGTGAGTGGTGCACTTAGGAGTCTGTGGAGACAAAGAACTTTGTCCTTGGAGGCAAAGAGGGGAATGTATGAGAGTATAGTTTACCAACGCTTTTTATATGGGTGTGAAGCATGGGTGATGAATGTTTTCAGGAGGGGGAAGGCTAGAGGCAGTGGGGATGTCATGTCTGAGGGGCAATGTGTGGTGTGAATAAATGCAGAGAATTCGTAGTTTGGAAGTTAGGAGGAGGTGCGGGATTACCAAAACTGTTGTCCAGAGGGCTGAGGAAGGGTTGTTGAGGTGGTTCAGACATGTAGAGAGAATGGAGCGAAACAGAATGACTTCAAGAGTGTATCAGTCTGTAGTGGAAGGAAGGCGGGGTAGGGGTCGGCCTAGGAAAGGTTGGAGAGAGGGGGTAAAGGAGGTTTTGTGTGCGAGGGGCTTGGACTTCCAGCAGGTATGCGTGAGCGTGTTTGATAGGAGTGAATGGAGACAAATGGTTTTTAATACTTGACGTGCTGTTGGAGTGTGAGCAAAGTAACATTTATGAAGGGGTTCAGGGAAACCGGCAGGCCGGACTTGAGTCCTGGAGATGGGAAGTACAGTGCCTGCACTCTGAAGGAGGGGTGTTAATGTTGCAGTTTAAAAACTGTAGTGTAAAGCACCCTTCTGGCAAGACAGTGATGGAGTGAATGATGGTGAAAGTTTTTCTTTTTCGGGCCACCCTGCCTTGGTCGGAATCGGCCAGTGTGATAATAAAAAAAAAAAAAAAAAATTATTGGGTAGTTGAAATAGGTAAATGGGCAGTTTCTTGTACTCAATCGATAGAAAAAATGGAGTTCTAAAGAAATAGCTATGAGTTTGGTCGACTGGAACAATGGAATTAGTTGGAAATAGGGCTCAAAGTGGGCGAAATCGCCGATTTGTAAATATCGCCAAGGTCGCCAACTTCGCAAGAGCGTAATTCCGTCAGTTTTCCACGTTTTTTCCATCAAAATTTTCGTTTTTTTTTTTTGGCGTCATTACCAATCTTGAAAAGGGTTACTATCATTTCATCAAGAAAAATCATTTTATTTTTAATTTGCGACACAGTAGAAATACTCAGTTGATCCGTGGCGAGTTCACAGTCAAGGGGTTAACTAGTTAATGATCCAGTCAAGTTAAAACATAAACTAGTTAATGATCCAGTCAAGTTAAAATATTAACTAGTTAATGATCCAGTCAAGTTAAAACATTAACTAGTTAATGATCCAGTCAAGTTAAAACACAAACTAGTTAATGATCCAGTCAAGTTAAAACATCAACTAGTTAATGATCCAGTCAAGTTAAAACATAAACTAGTTAATGATCCAGTCAAGTTAAAACATTAAGTAGTTAATGATCCAGTCAAGTTAAAACACAAACTAGTTAATGATCCAGTCAAGTTAAAACATTAACTAGTTAATGATCCAGTCAAGTTAAAACATTAAGTAGTTAATGATCCAGTCAAGTTAAAACACAAACTAGTTAATGATCCAGTCAATTTAAAACATTAACTAGTTAATTGATCAGGTCAAGTTAAAACATTAACTAGTTAATGATCCAGTTAAGTTAAAACATTAACTAGTTAATGATCCAGTAAGATAAGATAAGAGGATAAGATAAGATTTCGTTCGGATTTTTAACCCCAGAGGGTCAGCCACCCAGGATAACCCAAGAAAGTCAGTGCGTCATCGAGGACTGTCTAACTTATTTCCATTGGGGTCCTTAATCTTGTCCCCCAGGATGCGACCCACACCAGTCGACTAACACCCAGGTACCTATTTGCTGCTAGGTGAACAGGACAACAGGTGTAAGGAAACGTGTCAAAATGTTTCCACCCACCAGGAATAGAACCCGGGCCATCCGTGTGTGAAGCGGGAGCTTTAGCCACCAGGCCACCGGGTTAATGATCAAGTCAAGTTAAAACATTAACTAGTTAATGATCTGGTCAGACCAAAACAACGTCCTAAGTGTCAGTCTTCTATGTGCAGGTAACAAATATATGGAACAAGAAAGCAGTCAAATAAAGCAGGCAACTCAACTAACATACAATTCATATCAATTTTAATATTTCTTGACAAGCCAAGTGTTGCACTATACATAAACTGGCCTCATGTGTTTCTTGTGTCAATGTTTTATCTGTGATCATGTAAGACAGTAAACAACTTACTGTAACAGACTGCAACTGCTCCAGCACCTTAGCAGCTTCACCTTCAATCGTAGTCCTCTTACCCTGCATGCCTATTAATTCATTTTGTACCTCTGTAATTTCAGCTTCCATTCCAGCAATCTTCTCCTCCGTTTTTTTGGTGTTGCGCTGGGCAGTCTTGATGGCAACCTGTCAAAATATATTTAATGTACAATTTTCTTTTTTTCAACAAACTGGCTGTATCCTACCGAGGCCAGGTGACCTAAAAATAAAGACAAAAGGGGTTACTAGCCCCTTGCTCCCAGCATTTTAGTTGCCTCTTACAGCACGCATGGCTTATGGAGGAAGAATTCTCTTCCACTCACCCATAAAGATAAGAAATTAATAAGAACAAGAACTATTAAGGAAATAGAAGAAAACCCAGATGGGTGTGTAAATGTGTGTATGTACATACATGTGTAGTGTGACCTAAGTGTAAGTAGAAGTAGCAAGATACACCTGTTATCCTGCATGTTTATGAGACAAAAAAAAGACACCAGCAATTCTATCATCATGTACAACAGTCACAAGTTTCAGTTTTACACTCACTTGGCAGGATGGTAGTATCTCCCCGGGTGGTTGCTATCTACCAACCTACTACCACAGGACAGTAGTACCTCCCTGGGTGGTTGCTGTCTACCAATCTACTACCACAGGACAGTAGTACCTCCCTGGGTGGTTGCTGTCTACCAATCTACTACCACAGGACAGTAGTACCTCCCTGGGTGGGTGCTGTCTACCAACCTACTACCACAGGACAGTAGTACCTCCCTGGGTGGTTGCTGTCTACCAACCTACTACCACAGGACAGTAGCACCTCCCTGGGTGGTTGCTGTCTACCAACCTACTACCACAGGACAGTAGCACCTCCCTGGGTGGTTGCTATCTACCAACCTACTACCACAGGACAGTAGTACCTCCCTGGGTGGTTGCTATCTACCAACCTACTACCACAGGACAGTAGCACCTCCCTGGGTGGTTGCTGTCTACCAATCTACTACCACAGGACAGTAGTACCTCCCTGGGTGGTTGCTGTCTACCAATCTACTACCACAGGACAGTAGTACCTCCCTGGGTGGGTGCTGTCTACCAACATACTACCACAGGACAGTAGTACCTCCCTGGGTGGTTGCTGTCTACCAACCTACTACCACAGGACAGTAGCATCCCCCTGGGTGGTTGCTGTCTACCAACCTACTACCACAGGACAGTAGTACCTCCCTGGGTGGTTGCTGTCTACCAATCTACTACCACAGGACAGTAGTACCTCCCTGGGTGGGTGCTGTCTACCAACCTACTACCACAGGACAGTAGTACCTCCCTGGGTGGTTGCTGTCTACCAATTTACTACCACAGGACAGTAGCATCCCCCTGGGTGGTTGCTGTCTACCAACCTACTACCACAGGACAGTAGCACCTCCCTGGGTGGTTGCTGTCTACCAACCTACTACCACAGGACAGTAGCACCTCCCTGGGTGGTTGCTGTCTACCAACCTACTACCACAGGACAGTAGCACCTCCCTGGGTGGTTGCTGTCTACCAACCTACTACCACAGGACAGTAGCACCTCCCTGGGTGGTTGCTGTCTACCGACCTACTAGCTGTTATTTAACCCTTAAACGGTCCAAACAGATCGACGTTCAAATTCGTAGTGCTCCAAAAGTATATCTACTTTTGTTTACATATTTTCAAATATAACAAAAAAATGTAGGTAAAAGTTTTTTTTACACGTTTTCAAATGTAAAACAAAAAAGAAGATTTACATTTTTTTACATACTTTCAGATGTTGAAAAAACATATATATACGTTTGGACCGTTTAAGGGTTAATATCTTCACTTAATATGATAATGACTGAAGTAATTTACAGTAGGGCCCTGCTTTACGGTGCTCCGCTAATATGGCAATTTCAAATTATGACCAAAACTCTCCATACAGCAACCCGTCTTTCTTATACGGCGCCCCACCCAGTTTGTTTGTATTCTAAGTGAGCACATATCTCTATTATGTCTGGAAACTTTCCAAAATTTCAAGTGTTTTACAGTTATTGCATATTTTATATGTACTCTGATAATTATACTTATGTGTAACTGTACCTAAATATACTTACACACTGTGCTGGCATGCAGGTACACATTAAAATCGCTAAGTCTCTCTCTACTCTTGACGCCGTATTAATAATAATAATCTCTTGGGCACATTAAATGTCGTATATTACGTGAATAGTAAAGACATATGGAGGGATATGTTGTGTATCTTTATATGTACATGCTTCTAAACTGCTGTGTTCTGAGCACCTCTGCAAAAACAGTGATAATGTGTGAGTGAGGTGAAAGTGTTGAATGATGATGAAAGTATTTTCTCTTTTGGGAATTTTCTTTCTTTTTGGGTCACTCTGCCTCGGTGGGAGACGGCCGACTTGTTGAAAAAAAAAAAATCCATTAATCCATCTATGATTTTTTTTTTTCAAAATTATATAATAAACATGCTACATAACATATAAACATGATAAATACACACCACACAAGAATAAATTAACATAAATATGAGATATAGTAGCCAGGCGACTTGCAGGAGGGACGGCAAGAATAAAGTTTTCTCTAGTCCAACATCAGAGAAAATGTGTACACTACAATATTACTGGGGGGTAACAAGAAAATTAATACTTTCGTATGCTTTCACTTTGAGAGTCATTTCTTCTAAAAATGGTGTTCCAGGAGAATGGGAGTGTTCCTCTTTATTTATTCTACTGTATCAACGTGGAGACAACTTGTACACAATGTAAAGGTTTACATTACGTGTGGGTGGGGTGGTGTCAGGTAGGTTGGGTGGGGTGAGGTGGGCTGCCTTGGCTGGCTACAATACTTCCCACACCTTACTTTCTACAAATAAATATGACTCACCTCTCACCCCACATTAGGACTACACATATTTTAAGGTAATTAGTGAATGTATTGCAAATGTATTTTATCGCTCTGGAGCGCTTTAAATGTTGTATACTATGTGTGGGTGGGGCAGGGTGAGCTGCCCTGGCTGGCTACCATACCTCCCACACCTGACTTCCCCACATTAAGACTACAACTATTTTAAGGTAAGTAATGAGTGTACTGTGTGTGTATTTTATTTTTTATTGTATTTTTTAATGCCTAGTTTTATTACTAACTTAATATTAGTGTAAACTTGTTGTCTGGCATTTATAAGTAGAAAAATGGTGTTCCGCATTAAGACAATTTCTGCTTTAAGGCGGTAGCCTGGAACCTAACCTGCCGTATAGGTGGGGCCCTACTGTACTGGGTTAGAACCAGGGTAATTTACTGGGTTAGAACTAGGGTAATTTACTGGATTAGAACTAGAATAATTTATATACTGGGTCAGAACTGGGGTAATTTATTGGGTCAGAACTGAAGTAATTTACTAGGTTACAACTGGGGTAATTTACTGGGTTTAAACTGAAGTAATTAACATATTTTAACTAAAACACATACGTCTGTATCATTATTCAAATCTTAAATTGATAGGAAATCACTGACTTTAGTTTAGAATATTCACTGAATATTCAATGTATTAGAATACTGACTAACCTGAAGCCTGGTAATTTCTGCATTAACTTTCTCAAGTTTCTTCTCAACACTCTCCAAAGATTTTTTGAGCGACTTCATTTTTCCTCCAGTTACTTCCAAAATTTTTTCGTGAATTTTAGTAACTTCTGCTTCAACTTCTTGAGCAGATGCTGCTGCTGCCTGATGAACCTTCATCTTCTCCTCAATATTCTTCTCCATCTTCTTCATCTTTGTTAGGTCTGGTTTAACAGACTGAACTTTCTCCTCTTGTTTTACTTTCTGCTCTTGAAAGGATACAAGTTGCTGCTGAGCCGCGTCAACCTCCATTTTATATTTCTGAATGTTCAATTTGACTGTTTTCAAATCCTTTGTTAGTTGTTGGACAGAGTCTTCAAGTTGAGCACGCTCAGTGCGAAGTTGTCCAGCCTGTTTTGTCAGTTTATCAACTTCTACCTGTACACATTCAACTTCTCTAGGATCAACATTGACAACAGTCGCTTGTTTACCCATGCGACCGCGAAGAACTGATCTTCCACCTCCACTCATAGTACCTGAGGGTTCAATCAACTCTCCTTTCAGAGTTACTACACGATGTCGCACTCTGCCGTATGCAATACGTGAAGCTTGATCTAAATCGGCAGCTACGAGGGTGTCCCTTAAAGCATAATAAAAAGCAGTTTTCACTCTGTCGTCATTCATTCTCACTAGATCAAAGAGGCGAGGTACATTTTCAGGAGTTTGCATTGACCTCTCGCACTGGCCCCTCCATTTTTCCATCTTGTCCAGAGCTATGAAGGTAGCTGTACCAATATTGTTTCTTTTAAGAAAACTTATACATTCCTGACCAGTGTCCACTGAATCCACAACTATATTGTCCAGTGGTCCACAAGCTGTGCTAATTGCAACGTCATATTTTTCATCAATGCCACCAAGATCACCCAGTCGGCCAAACACGCCAGTAATACTTCCCTTTTTTCTCTGTTCCATGATAGCATCGAGGACTCTTCCCCGAGACTGTGATGACTGCATGGCACTGCGGCTTTCCTCAAGCTTCACTCGCATAGTTCTCAGCCGCTCCTCTACCTTCTCTTGTTCAGGAACCAGACCTTGAAGTTTCTGCAAGTCCGTTTTAAGCTGTTCTTCATTTCTAGGTATACTATCTTCCATATTTGTTATTTCCCTGGTTCTTTGACGCACAGTATCCCGGGCCTTCTCTAATCCTGCAATAATCTGTTCAAGTTTCCTTTTTTCATTTCGTTCTGTACTCTGGTAAATATCTAATTCACACTGAGCAATATCAAGTGCACTCTTAGCCTCATCAACTTCTTTTCTAAGGTCAATTAGTTGAGTTTCAAATTTAGCTTTTTCATCCTGCAACTGCTGAGTTTCAGAGTTGAGAGTAGACATGACTTTGTGATATGCTGTCTCTTCTTTCTTCCTCACATTTTCCAGATTATCTCTCAGCTTCTGACACTCCTCTATATCTTTCTTATTTTTTTCAGGGACTTTCTCCAGCTCTTCTAATCTACTTTTTTCACCACTGAGCTGACTCATGAGTTTCTTCCTCTTCTGGTTTTTGTGCTTAAGATCTTCTTGCATTTTAACATCTTCACTCTCCAAGGCTTTAAATTTCTCTGAACATTCCTCCTTTATCTTGCTAATTTTCTCCAGTTTCTTCCCAAGAGTTTTTATTTCTTCTTCTTTTTCTTTTTTCTTTCCATTGAGTTCCTCTAGTTCTTTCTTCACTTCACTCATACTATCATCAATTTCTTGCTTCTTAGTCTCTGCTTTCTCCTTTCTTCTTGAACAGTCTAAATAGTAGCACTGTAGTAGTGTGTGTTTCTTGTGTGTTACTTCGTTTTCCAGCCTCAAGTGTTGAATGGCTGCATCTTTGGGTCCCTCTAGCTCATCCTTTTCTTTCTCCACCAATTTCACCCTGTTCAATTTCTCTCCTCGTGCTTCATTTAATTCCTCTACTCTCTTGGACAGTAATTCTATAGGCTCTTTGAATCTTGAAGATCCAACAATATCCTCTAGAAACTCTAACATGCCAGTGTCATGTTCTGTTAGAGCTTTGGGTTTCATCATAGCAATCTGTTCAACCTCACCTTGAAGAATGAGGAAGCGATTGTGGTCCAAATCAATGCCATGAGCTCGAAGTTCTTTAGCAACAGCCTTAAACTGGCATTTCTTTCCATTTATCTGATAGAAGGACGAATTATCACGGAAAGCAGTGCGAGAGACAACAAACTGTGAATCGGGAACAACTTCAAAGTCATCAGAATCCTTGTCAATGATCTTCTGAAAATGAACAGAAACTGTGCAGCTCTGAACATTCTTATGTTCTTCAGATTCATGGATCAGGACAGATATCTTCTTGGAACGAATTTTTTGAGCACGGTAGCCAAAGACGAAAAGCATGGAATCGATAACATTGCTCTTGCCACTTCCATTTGGTCCAACAATAGATGTGAAGCTTTTGTGAAATGGTCCCAAAACCTAGAAAAAAATAGAAGAGTTAATACAATTACAGTTTATAGTAATGTTCTTCCCTCTTAACTTCAATATTTTAAATCGTGTGTACATCATTTAGGTCTCCTAAGATGATTTGATAGACTGAGAGTAATGATGCACACAAGTTATGTCCTAATAGTGGCTCTTATAATAATTAATTAGTAGACGACTGAACCAATCCTTCATACAAAAAGTTGAATGAATACAAAAATTTCTCAAATATTTGTAGTGTCCTCTTTGCTCGATATTTTTTTTCTTTCCAGTGCATTGTACCATTATATTCAGTGTATCATTATACTAAGGGCAAACTTGATTGCAATGCACAATTTTCAGGTGTCAACACTATTACAAAGTCAGCCTTGTATCACTGCAATGAAAATTTTATCCATTACACTATTTTTTTAACCCTTTCACTATGAGTTATGTAGATGTATGTCAGTGTTGGTGCTGTACATCCACCCATAATTCACACCATCCTCAAATTTGCAGAGAGTAGCAAATTTTGGCCTGAAATAGGCCTCAAAGTGGCAGCTTGTTAGATTTTTGTCCTTTTAACTTTTCCCTAGTGTGTTTCATGAGTATTACTAGGCCTGCTTCAATCACTGGAAGGTTTAAACCATAACTAAGCATTCTTGGTTTTGCTTTTCCTATGATGGAGAACAAGTGTTTTATACAAGAGTTTTTGGGAGGTGATTACCCCTTTAACTGTCTAAATGTAGATCTACATTGTTACCGCTAGCACTCCAAATGTAGATCAATGTTTTATTTTTCTTGCTTCCAAATTTGGCATGACTGGCCTGAGATGCCTGGTCATCATAGAATGGGTCTTAACACTCAGTGTGCACAGTATTAAAAAATCTGGCACCACTTAGTACCTTGTGGGAGCACCAGTTCAACCAAGTGCCAGCCAGAGCAAACAGCGTGACAAACACCAGGGATTCACTTATGTCATGTCGTATTAACGTTCCCATTTTAAGAGGAAAGTGATACTGACTCTGAGTTTAGTGGCTCTGAGATGGATGTGGCCACAAGTGGTTGAGGAAATATCAACAACCTCAATAATAACCCATGTGCAACGTATGTGCAGCATCCAAAATATAATACTGTAACGTGTTAATCAATTACAGTGGACCCCCAACATACGATGTCCCCAACCTACGTAAAAACCGACCTATGATGCATTTCAGCGTAAAAATTTTACCCTGATGTACAGTGAAAAAATCGACCTACAGCATTCGTCCCGTACGCGTCCACATGTCTGTCTGCCTGAGCGCACCTCAGCTGGCCTGCCTTCAGTTAGTGTGCCAATGTTTACAAGCCAGAGTGGTCGCTCCCACACATACATTCAGAACAATTTGTATTATTCCAGTGTTTTTAGTGCTTCTAACTGCTAAATAAGCCACCCTGGGCCCAAAGAAAACTTCTAGTGCCAACCCTGTAGTAAAATGGGTGAGAAATACTACCAAAATACTATCGTACCACAGTCAGCTGCTGCTGCTGCTGCAACACCATCAGATGCTGCTGCACTATGGTCAGCTACTGCTGCTGCTGTAGCACCGTCAGCTGCTGCTGCACCACAGTCAACTGCTGCTGCACTATGGTCAGCTGCTGCTGCTGCTGTAGCACCGTCAGCTGCTGCTGCTGCTGTAGCCAAGTCGCTGTGCTGTGTGTAGCACCGTCAGCTGTTGCTGCACCATGGTCAGCTGTACTACTCGAAGATGTGGAGAGACTGTTGTTGGTGTGGCTTATCAAGAATACCGAGAAACAATTAATCCCAGAGGGTTAGCCACCCAGGATAACCCAAGAAAGTCAGTGTGTCATCGAGGACTGTCTAACTTATTTCCATTGGGGTCCTTAATCTTGTCTCCCTGGATGCGACCCACACCAGTCGACTAACACAAAAATGCCTGGAACTAGTGCTCATATTGGTGAATTTAAGGCCAGCAAAGGTTGGTTAGAGAGATTTAAGAATCGTAGTGTCATACACAGTGTGATAAGGCCTGTTCTGGAAGAAAATGCCAAACAGGACCTACATTACTCAGGAGGAAAAGGCACTCTCAGGACACAGTGTGTCATCAGTCATCGATACATCTTTAATAAAGGTAAGTGTCATTTATTCTTCATTTAGTAGAGTAGTACATGCACAATATACGTTGTGCATATACTACTCTACTACTGTGCATGTCTCCTTCTTTTTGTGTGTAGGAAAATGTATATTTCATGTGTTAAAAAAAATTTTCATACTTTTGGGTGTCTTGAACGGATTAATTTGATTTCCATTATTTCTAATGGGGAAAATTAATTCAACCTACAATCATTTCATCTCAGGATGTGCTCTCAGGAATGAATTAATATCGAAGGTCGGGGTCCACTGTACTTGTTAATTCAGTTACTGCTAAACCACTACTTCCTCTGTTGAAATATAAAAAACATTGTTCAATTAGAACCAACTATGGTATATATGCCTAGTAGTAAGTAGCCTGTTAACCCTTTCACTGTCGAGCCCCCCTGCTCGCAAACTTGCTCTCAGTATCAAAGAATCAAAAAAAAAAAATTAGTATTTCTTATGAAATGATAATCTTTTCCCGATGGTAATGACACCAAAAGTACAAAATTTGATGGAAAACTTACAGAATTATGCATTTATGAAGTTAGCAGTCCAGGTGACATTTACACATTGCCGATTTTGCCCACTTTGAGCCTTATTTTCAGGCAATTCCATTGTTCCAGTCAACCAAACTCATAGCTATTTCGCTAAAACTCCATTTGTTCTATCAACTGAGCACAAAAAACCATCCATTTACTGATTTCAACTACCTAATTAAGTGATCAGAAACTGGTAATTTGGACAATTTCATACACAATTCAAGTTAGGCCATTTTCAAAATAGGGGCCAGAATAAACAATGCAGACATTCCTAGCTCAAAAATAATATTTTCTCTGTTCATTAGTCACCTCTCCAGACTCCTCTTATATTACACTTGCTTTCCATTTTATATTTTTATTCACAAAAATTAGAAGATTTACTGTTACGCAAACTACTGCATTATTGTAAAAGTTTTATAAATAATATCAGACCATTTGTGAAAGAATATTAGACCCACCAGTTGATGTGTATTGGACGTGTGGTGTGATTTGTTTACACTTGAACATGGGCAAAAATTTAACATTTCTGCTACTATGAACTCAATTTCAAGGTACTTTTAGTCTGAAAGCCATTCAAAATCATCTCTATTTTTGTAATATATCTTCCATTCTATCTAATGAGACCAAGAACATGAGAATACAACTATAAATACCGTACAAAAATACACCACAAAGTCGCTGTTTTAAACCAAAAACACGGTCTGAGTTTTTTCTCATTATGCACTGCTTGCTGTAGGATTTTTTCATACTGCACACACTGACCATTCAGACCCATTCTCTCATATGTAGGCCTACCAGCTTTTACCCGCAAGATTTGAAGCCGCTACAATTTTGGCATAACATTATGGGACCAACACTGGCTTGCAAGCCGTAATATCACTGGACCAACAGTGAAAGGGTTGAGTTTTAAGTTTAGTCTGGCCAAAATGCCTCCGCATGACAGTGGCTTTTTTTGTACTTAGCAAACCATAATTGTAAACTATGCAAAGACATAAAATCCTTATTCTTTCCTTTCAATTTTTGTACCACTGGTAGTGTCATCCTGCCAGAATGTCTTATAACCTAAATAAAGAGAAACAATTCTGGAACGTGTAATACATGTTCAGCAGGCCGGCTGGCTGGCAGGATGCCTGGCTGGGCTGGCCGGCTGGCCTGTGAGTGGCTGACTGGCTGGCCAGCTGGCCTGCAGGTGGCTGGCTGGGTGGCTGATTGACTTTGGCTGTCTCTATCTCCATCTGTCTCTGTCTATCTCTGTCTGTCTCGCAGGTACACAAATGCAATTATACTGTACATAGTGTAAATTACCTAGGATAACAAAAAAATCCAGACAAAGTGCTTGTAGATATAATGCATAATAAGCATGACTGGCAAGTAATACACATTTTCACTTGCACATGAATCAAATGTGACGACTCTGCATCATGTATAACCTGTTGGTTCATGAGCGGCTCACTCTCTGAGACAGAGACAAGCAGACAGAGAGAGAGGAAGAAAGACAGATAAGCAGAGACAGACATAAGAACATAAGAAAGAAGGAACACTGCAGCAGGCCTACTGGCTCATGTGAGACAGGTCCAAGTCTCCTACTGGCTGAAGCCAATGCCCCAACCTAGTCAGGTCAGGTCACATTCACTTAAGGAAGGAGCACAGCATCTGACCTAGTTCCACAAGCTAGTCAGGTCCAACTCACACCCACCCACACTCACTCATGCATTTATCTAACCTATCTTTAAAACTACACATTTTAGCCTCTATAACTGTATTCAGGAGCTTGTTCCACTCCTCCACAACTCTATTACCAAACCAGTGCCGGCAGCGGCAGCAACGGTATCCTACCAGCTCTTCTTTCTCAAAAAAACATCGCCCATCAAAACCTGTGATGGCCTAAGTGAAAGTTCAACTACATGAACCCACGTAGACCACAACATGACCCAAGAATACTAAGAATGTAACCCAAATCTTGACAAAATTAGAAGAACTAAGGAAGACAGCCCTGCTAACCCAAACACTGCCTCCGCTGCCAGACAACCACTTAACCCAAGCTCCGAGAAAACAAGCCTTCTCCTCCATTGCTACACAGTATCTACTTCAGTGATACTATGAAAGGATATCGCAGAAGAAACAACACCAGTAATAAAAGAATAACAGCAAGGACCCTAGAACTCAACTTGTCTACCCAGCAGGACGCCGGTGTATCATCAACCCCCCTCACCACCGCCACCCAGGGAACAACAACAACAACAACAACAAACATGGCTGACTCCCCCTCCAACTCCACTCCCTTAAAAGGGATTCATCCATGATAACTCAGGTATGATTATTCCTGACAATATCAAGGA